TCGCAGTAAATATTATATTAATGTGCCAATAATACTGGCACGAGGAATCATTCGACTCTAAACTGCAACAACGTAGTCCGTACCTACTAACAATTCACTTGTTAGTTAAAGAGCAATGGCAGACTTTCATACATAAAATTAGTTCAGAAGAAATGGTAGCGTCTATATACCAAAAATATCTTAAAATGTTAAGCGTCAGTCCCTTAATAAATCTGTCAAAGAATTTCGTACTGGGAAGGCGTCAAAAAAAAGATATTTACATTTGAACCTTTTTAGGTTATGTCCTATGTCACTTGGAAAAAGTCATGCTTCCTGTGGTTGTTTGATGTTAGCTTAATACATAATACATAATTGAGAGGTTTTAGATTATTGTATCTCTATTATATATTTGCATACTATAAATGTATATTTCTGGCATGGCTCTAGGGCTTTTGTGTCATAGTGACATTCTCAGAAGGGCTAGAACCCAGAGCCGTAAAGCCAGTAAAAAAAAACAGTGACATTTTATTTTAACTAGTGTTGGCATAACATTAAATGGAATTGTTACATAGTACTATGATTGAGATAATGAATTATTGTAGGAAATTCTTTGTAAGAGACTTATTCTCTGCCATATCACTTTTATTTTTATTATTACTGATAGTACAGTTATTAATAATAATAACTTAATATAAAAATATTTTGTGTGTTGTGTTGGTAGTCTTACAAAATATATACGAAAATAGTATGAAAATACTAAATGGCAACATTTGAATAGATTAAAATGATTTTAAGTCATTTGATATTCCCAAATATGTTTGTTTTTTTCTGTGGCTTTAATTAAAATACATTTTTATTTGAAAAATCATAGAAATATAGTAAAACTCATTTTATATATAACTTATTTCTAGACGCTATAATTATTGTCAACTATTTTTCTGCCATTGCTCTTTACAAATTCGAGTGAATAAGCCATTATCTAATATCAGCCAGGATTTTTTCATAAAATTGAAGTGACAAATGTGCGTACAGTTATCTTATTGCTAAGTAGCTTCTGCAGCCCATAGAACCCTACAGCCAATTTCAAATAAAAAGGCCTACAGTACGGCTAGCATGGGCAGGAGACAATTTAATCCCCGGGGAAAGGACAAAATGTTTATCCCCTAGCTTAGTTTTATCCACCCTTCGAGCATGGGCACACTGGTGGATATAATATCCATATTAGATAAAATGGGAGATAGACTTAGATAGATTTTTTGTATGAATGTAAGTCACGTCTTGTCACACTTTCAAATGTCAAAAAAGTATAATTTTTTATCTCCATGCTACGGACGAAGGATATATATGTCAAATGGGAATATACTTCTCCCCGTTGCCATGCTTTGGCATAAGGACAAGATAATTTTATCTCTTGTCAGTGGATATAATCAGGGGATAATTTTTTGTCCCCAGTCCATGCTACCCATGCTGATATGCTGTCACCTCAGACGACTAATATGGAATGCCTCACGTACAGACAGACTCAGAAGTAAGTAAGAGGTAAGAGGAGACCTGTTTCCAGGAGTGAGACGCATAATGCTGTAGCTTTAGGTTTCAAAGTCCGCTTAACAAGTGATTAACCGTCGTTAGCTATAAATGTATCTTGCCTTGATTCAATTGTTATGTAGTTACATATCTATTACTTACTTCAAACAAACTCAATGTGTGGTGATCGCTACCAAGCTATTTCTAATTTGTTGTATTGTTAATTGTAAAACATACATGATTGTAAGCTGTTATTTAAAAAAAAAAGTCCCGCTGGGTTTCTTGCTGGTTCTTCCCAGGACAGAGGTTTTTTCAGAACTAGTGGTAATTAAACAAAAGAGTGACTTTCAATAAGTATTATTTATAATCTAAGTTTCTGTTACTGTTTCTGTTTCCGTTTCTGTTACACTACGTAATTTTTATTGTGTTTTTAATTCTGTTATTAATCTATTGTGACGTTGCCCCACATTCATTCTGGTATACAATAAACATTATATTAAATGTGATAATTATTTCTTTGCATTATTGGGCATTCATCTTGGCCTGTAAATACACTGTAAATTCACATTGGAACACAGCAGTGCAAGCTCTGCTGGTTGGCGGCAGTGGTAGGAAAGAAGATGGTATATACCCAGACGTACTCGTAGACGGAAACGGAGACCTACCACCGATTATATATATATATATATATATATATATATATATATATATATATATATATATATAGACACACATACATATACATATAATTTATTTAATATATAGTATATTAAATTTCTGATAAAATTCGTCAGTTGTGAACTCGGGAATGAACAAGAAAGGCACGAGGCGGTTTTACGTCTCGTCGTAAAAGCAGCGCAAGGGAAGCGACTGTGAATCATCCGGCGTGTCTTCGCTTTAATAAACAAGGTAAATTAAAACGGCGGCTTCACTTTTGGGAAGCCCGAGGTCACGAGTCACAGCAACATAACATTTCCTTTCCGTTTTAAAATTAATACCAGGACGGACTCAATATAGACTAAGACAAAATGCCAACTAAAATGATAACAAAAGAACATTCATAGGAATGATAACAAAGTTCCTGACTGACTGTAACGATTTATGTTCTATGCATTAATCAGCGTAATTTTCTACACTTTCACAACTTGCGCAATTGTTAAGAATATGGCTTTGTGGACATAGGTGCAGGTTACACGTTAATTACTCCTAGTAGAAAATAACTGTCGAGTACTTATTACATTATTATAATATGTAACTGTTTTGATCCCATTAAAATAAAATAAATATAACAATTCAATTGCAATAACAATTCTATAAAATATATTGTAAAATGGAGTATGTAACGTATTGATGTATATTCTAGAACACAGATATTATTTGTTCTATAGTTTTCAGGTAGTTTGTTGATAAGGTGTACTCAAATGCCGAAAACGCACTCTACATTAACAAAATCTCAAACTGAGTATATATTATTAACTTTATTAATGTACTTCTGATTAGACCAGAGATATATTGCCATTGGTTCGGAAATATCCTCAATTGATCAATGGTTGAATGCGGGCGAAATGTCCGCTGACGCGTCATGTATCTGCCACTTAGGTTAAATACATATTAAGCTTTACTTTATTAAAAATTGATGTAACTAGAATAAAAATGAAATCCGTCTCCCGAGCACAAGTTGAAGATGATGTTCGCGAATGTAACGTAGAAAATAAAAAATAATAAGAATAAATAATTTTACAAACTAATGACGTCATACATTTTTGTTAACATATCACGATAGTGCGGTTTAATCTTTGTTAATATTGTAAGTGTAATTGAAAGGAAATAGATAGCTTTACAAATAGAATACTGGTTTATTCATATGTCCGAAGCAGTCAAATGACGTCGGAGACCTCACTTATAACCCGACAGACAGCCGCCAGAGGTCACCGCCACGCGGCCCCAAGGCTCCAAACTCATAACTAAAATGTCGAAACATTTCAAGGGCATACCGCGTGACGGGATGTGACCTATTGACTTTCAATAAATTTCTTTCGCCCACGTATAACGACGGCATATCGTCCGTATGTATTGAACGAACTGACGCTTAGACTACTTGTACACACCGAACGATCAATGGTCATCCGGTCGCTTGAGTTAAATTAAACACTGGTGTTCAAATCCTAGCTGGAGCCAACATTTAATCAAATGAAAACTTTGCACAAATTCTTGTCTTTCGCATTCACTGAGTTTATGATCGTCCTTGTATTTCTGATACTGCATTTATGGGCGCAGTCAAAATTTTTATGGGTTGGGCGCGGGGGACAACGCCCATGGTTACCCTCTGAAATGAAATGTCTTTATTCGTCGTAAGAACATCTTATTGTATAAGCATTACATCGGACGCCAGTACGTAGGGACAGGTGAGTATTTCGTTAGCGTTGAGGGCCAACGTGGGGTTTACGTCGGTAACAATCTGACATAAACCACTTGGTTCATCTCTATCCGAATTAAGTATTTTCCTACGTATAAAAGGTGTGTTTGCTGGTACACCTTGTACCAACACAATAATATACATTATGTATTACAGTTAAAGTTCCGCTTGTGTTCAAAGATTACAGTCATATTCGAACTTCATAATCACTGAGTAATGAGAACAATTAAGTAATCAATCAATGCAATAATAATAAGAATAAGAATATCATGTGTAAATGTCAATGAATAAAAAATGTTAATAATTAAATTATATAAAATATTGAGTAAGGTATTTGTTACATGAAATACTTTTGAATCACAGTGGCATTTTTACAAAAACAATACAATAGGTTTTCTCTTAAAACACATTTAAAATCCACTTTTCGAAATCTATTCGTAGCATGCCGTAGGCGCTTTTTATGTATTATGTATTTGCAACAACGTTTTTGATACACAACTTATAGGAGTATCTAACAGACCTATTCTTATTAGTGTCACAATTTCGTTTAAAATATTTCGAATATAACACGTGTTTTTTTTTTTTTAGTTAAAAAGGAAGCAACATTTATTTAGTTAAGAACACTTTTTTTTTTCAACCTAAACTGATATATTATGCCATACATATGTCACATATAATGTACATTGAATTTTATTATGATAGGTATAATCAGTAACTGTTTATTTGTTTTTTTGCAGTCCTTTTGTCATCTGCCTCTGACTCCTGGCTACACTAAAAATCAGCGTTACGAATTGATGTCTGTTCTCCAATGTCAGTGGAAACGATTTTGTTGCATATAATGTTGTTTTATTTTAATATTTTTGTTAAAATTAAGTTTTTTTTCTTTTTCTAACCTATGTTTTTCTTTGTTACAATGTATGTAACAAATAAACGTATTTCTTTATTATATTAATTGCCCTATTTGTATTAAACGTAATTATAGAAGAGCACATTAAGGCGTGACGCGGCACGGTTAAATCTGGACTTGCGTTCTACGTCGGTCGCTAATTAGGAAGCGCACGCACAAGGGCGCTGCACCGAGATGCGCGCGCGACTCGTACAATCTCGCGAACAAAGACACCGCGGAACAAAAGAAACGGGCAGCGGAACAAAAGGAACTGGCAGCGGAACAAAAGAAATGTGCAAGGCACAACCACAATGGGCGAGTACCTGGTGGAAATACGAGAGGTATGGCGTTGTTTAGAGACACAAAGGGGTGTTATATTGAATTATGCCCTCTTGGAAAGTCTGAAGGGCCGGTTAAAGCGTAAAACATCTTTTTATCTATAATATTCGTCAAACGGTATGGTTACAGATTTAAAAATGTCAAGCGAACCCGCCGATGTGACTACAGTGTTATAGTTACAAAAGGAAAAAGACAACTCTGCAAAAAGTCGATACTGCCCAAAATAATCAAATGCTATCATACGGAAATGCGATAACATTAAAGTATTTAAAAATACATTATTTAATTATCATATAGAAAATAAGTTTTTTTGATTCAATATGACGAACTTTTTGACGACAGTTAAATTAGATGCAATTAAATTATATTTATACATACCTTAAATTAAAAAAAAAACTTAATAAATTTGATACCTTTGGTTTATTATTCCCTTTTTCTCCAATTTTTTATTTTAAATGTTAATTTAATTTGTTAATGTTATTTAATATTTAAATATTATCGTGTATTAAAGAATATTTGTATGCCCGTATGCCCCAACAGAATGAGCACAGAGGACCTGCTTTTTCTTTTTTTTATAACAACATAATATGTATAACCTGTTCACAATAAAATAATTTAAATTTGAATAAAGTCTAAACAGACAACTTTAAGCTTGTTTCATTTAACGGCACTCATGAATACAAACTTAATATATTAAGTACAAAAACAACAAACACGTTAATTTGCAACACAAATAAATTGAATACAACTATAAGACGTCAGTTATTAAAACAAAGGTAACTTCCAAATCTCCTGCCAAAATGGCAAAGACGACAATACGGCTCCGGTTATAGAACTTTCGCAGAACCCTTATAATGGAATTTCCCGCTCCGACAAAAGCTCAGCGCAAAGAGCCAGAAGTACTAAGTTCAATCATCGCGCTGCAGCACTTTCCAACTGCCAATTTTCCTTCTTTGTTTTCAGACGCCTACGTTACTACAAAAAGACGGATAAATTCTTAACGAATATTTCTCTTTGATCTCTCACAGTTTACAACTGTATTTTAATACTTATCTCGGTTCGTGTCGCGTAGTATTTAAATTTCTTTTTAAATGGAAAACGTTTAGTGAATTTTAATGTTAAATAGATCATTAATAAATCACGTCTTAACTGTAACTAGACAACATTAAAAATTGAAATGTATATATACATTTCAATTTCAAACCAGTCATTAAAACTGGAAGTGGAAAAAAGCCAGAAACCTCAGAAAGCAAAGAACCTCACAACACAATTTTTAAAAAGTCTTACCTATAATCTCATAACTTAATGAAAGGTGGAGGGAAGGCAAAATAGTTATTAAAGTTTAAGACTAATATCAAACAATACTAACATCGTTACAATAACCCTCTGTCACGGTAGAAAATAATGAATTGGGGCTTAAAAAATTCGCTGCATTTATTTCGCGGAAGCACTTATTTCTATTTCTGTGTAACCGACGGCGCTGTGGCCTGTAAGATCTCGCGGCGAATATAAAATATAAACTACTCAACACGATACTTTAAGCTCACTAACATTATGCATTATTTTCAAAAAATGTGGATTAGAATTGTATGCAAAAATATTTTATTCTATTCATGAAGCACCAACATACTCGTAGCATACGTATTTTAAAGCACTCTTGCTTAAAAAATAAAGTGCGTCATTTAACCATCCCCATCAATTTATCATACATCTTATAAAAATGAATGCCTGTCTCCCTCATAGGGTTAAAGCTACAAAAAAGATAAAACCCAGTCTGATGTAAAGCGATGTTGAGGTGATAAAAGACAATATTTTCAAGAAGGAAAAGAATAATGGTATAATAATTTCTTAGGGCCTCCGACACAGATTATTATCGTATCACTAATAAATGTTTTGTAAAGTGCCGTTTCTTATAAAGTATCAAAACTATCAAAACCCGTTTCAAAAGGGTTTCTTGTTGGTTCTTTCCAGTACAGAGGATTTTTCCGAACCAGTGGTAAAAGTAAAAAATTACTTTCAATAAGTATTACATGTAATCTATATTGAATAAAAATGATTCTATTCTATACTGTTTGTTGAGAATAAATTTTAATCACTTAATAATAAATGATAATGTCGACGGACACAAAGGCTATTTTTCTCAAAACATCGTTACAGCTGTTCAAAAACAAGCATCGAGGAGCTTATCCTCGGAACTAATAAATCACTTTTAGTGCTTGTAAATCAATGGGACGGTTACCGGTGTTTTATGTTTACAAATAGGTAAATTCTAAATGATATACTTTAATAAATTGGAAAACATCGGGCCGAGTTACAAACTAATCTTAATGCGAGACTAATTTCAATTGCGTCACTTTCAGTATTGGTTACAATAAATTAGGGTGCTAGTTATCGTGAAAACTAAACAAAGCAAGACCGTTAACACCATAGTGATCAAATCTACTGTGATAGACAGTAACAATAAAATATTGGGCTTCCTCAGGTTTCTATTACATAGGATACACTATATCAAATATGTTGTAATTTTGAATTGATATAGCAAGCGATACTGCATACTATCGTACGCGTCTATTATAATATATATATCGAACTTCACTTTATGTCGTAAGTTGAGAAGGAAACAGCGCTCAATCGAGGCGCAGACGAGTGCTTTTCGAATTTCAAAGTTGTAGGGGAATAAATTGTTCGACGAGGGTCGACGCCACCGCGGTATTGTGTTCACCAGCTGACGTGCCCTCTGCCGAGTGGGAGAGCCATCAGTATAAGCTATAATTACAGTTGTAATTAATCATTACTTTACGTATCATATTCATATACAAACATGTACCGCCATGATAAAAGCATAATTCAACAACATTATAGCCATACAACAGCTAGACAACGAATTTTTAACAAATAACTTTACACGCTTTCGGGAACAACTTTGATGGTCTGTCTTGGAAAACAAAAAGATCGATCAAAACCAGCGTAAAAGAACATATAGATCAATGTTCAAGATCGACCCCGCTATTACAACAGATTTGATAAACACCGATTTTTAAAATAAAATATTAATTTCATATTTTATGTAATGGAACTAAAACCCAAATTTATCTGTATTATGATCCTTACAGAATAATTATATAGGTTAAAGATTGTTTAAGCATTTAAGAGAATTATGTAACTTCTCTCTTGTGATTAAATACATACTTGTAAAGAACATAATGTAAACAAAGATCTTTAATCTTATTTTCAGACTAACTTAATTATCTGAAATGTTCTTTAATAGCTGGAAAATTGTTTAATTATAAAAGCTTTTCGCACCTTACCGTCTGTCATGTCTATATTTGACTGCCTCGTTGTTCTGGTGGTCGTGAACGCGATGCGAATCCCGGGTCGGGTCAATTCAGTTATTAGGTTTTCTGTCAAGAAATTCTCAGTAGCAGCCAGGAGTTAGAAGGTTGGCGGTGTTACACCCACGTGTCTCGGAAAGCACGTAAAGCCGTAGGTCCTGCGCCTGATATTTCTCTAGTCGTGTTAGCTTGCCGTCTCATCGGACTATGAGAGTAAAGGAATAGAAATTCCACCTGTGCTTGCGCATACATTTGGGCACTATAATCCTCTAATCTCCGTTGAAACTGGCCGCCGTGACCGAATTTCGATCTAGAGGACATTATTATATGACACAAACTTAAAAACTTATGGATAAATTTATAAAATTAATTAACAATTTAAATTTTCCATTAAATGTATTTAAATAAGCAAAAGGTTAATTCAAGTTTGTTTTATGGAATTATCATTGAATAAGTTTAAATGTACCTATAGCTACAACGCTCTTGCAGACTCAGTTCCTGGACATAGCACAGGCACAGTCATGATAGAGTATACGACCCTTTTTCTAACAAAATATATGACATTTTCTCAAATATAATAAACTAAACGTTAAACAATGAGAGCAGTTCACGTCTAGTTATAAACTAAATTATTAATATTAAAGCAAGACGATGCCATAAAATACGAAACGAGCAATTAGCTGCAGACACGAGTGAATTTGCTGGGAACTAATTATTGTTTCTTTGAATTCCGTACATTGTTAACAATATAAGTTTTGAGATGACCTAAAGAATAATATATAATCTACGTAAACTATTATTTTTGAAAAGTCATACCTAGTTATTAAAATCTATAATCGCTACGCATCTAAAGTAACATTGAACATTTGCATTTTGCATCCATGTTATAAAGTACAACTACTCCTACTTGTTTTAATTTCTTATAAGTCTTAACTTCTAATTATTAATGCAAAATTACAAAATCATATAAATACTATTTATGATTTACTTTCAACTTAAAATCAAGAAAGGAGATAAATCGGTTGTATTACTCTTCCTTCGCCTATTTTTTTTTTTAGTAACGACGCATCACCGGACCCCTGAACTTTTACCTAACTCAATTCTGATTTCTTATATTTACGCGAACACTACACATTTAAATAAAACTAACTTTACGGATTTTATCGCGTATATTAACTTATTAATTTATATTCCCGACGTTTCGGGTGCTTTCCAGCATCCGTGGTCACGGGAGACTCCCAGTCCTCCTAGGTGAGTAGTGCCGTGTGGTGGCGGAGTAAGAGAACCTATTAACTACTGTGGTTATCGTAAGAGGCGACTATAGGAAATGCAGAAAAATCTTAAGGATAAGGGTGACAAACGAGCACACAGTCCACCTGATGGTAAGTGGTTGCTGCGGCCCATAAACATCTACAACTATCCTCTATTACAAATCAAAATGTAGATGCGTTGTCACCCGTGAGGACTAAGATGGAATGCCTCATTTCCAGTAAAAAGGGCCTCTGGCCACCTGCACTCACCAAGCGAAACGCAGAGGTAAACCTCTACTTCACGCTGGTTTTCTGTGAGGTCGTGGTACCACTCCGGTTCGAGCCGCCCCATCCGTGCGACAGCAAAAGCTGCCGCGTGGCTCTACCTCTTATTTCGTTTACGTTAGACGTAAGACACAGACTGGCGACGGGCAACAGCCCCAAAGGACGTCTGAAACACGAGACGTCTGGCACTGCGATCGTCAACCCACCTACAAGTCTCGGCACGTAAGTCTAGCGGTGAAAGAAACGTGGAGGAGACGCGCATGAATTGTGTTGCACGAATGCGACTGGCGAGCCAATCAGCGTGTGCGAACGATACGCACTAGCCAATCAGCGGAACTTATGCTCAATAACGGTCACCGCTAGACTTTCGTACCGCTACTTATACCAAG